TTTATGGTGTGAGAGCATTTCTGTTCAAACTGTTATGAACCCTCTGAGGTTCTCTAAATTGTCAGCATCGAACGACCGCACGGCACGAGGACAACTCTTTTCTCTTCCACAGTATATTTCACTTCATCAAATAATTAACAATTAACACTAATAACACCAGCTATTTATAGCATGCAAAACCAGCGTACATGTATATCAAAACATACACATATAAAACATGACATGACAGCGTATACCAGTGGTACACTGCAAACCGCACACAGCGCATATAGCGTATGCCATGCAGCAAACATCAGCGGTACGGCGGAGTCGAAATACAACATCGCAACGAATACAATGCCATAAGCGCGAAGGCCTTTCCCACTTGAGAACTGGTGGTTTGCAACACAAACAAACTTCGGATATAAAGAACTAATTCTACTCCAAAATGGTGGTCCCTACATCAGGAGTCGACTGCATAACATGCTCCATTCTGGTGGAGTTGTTTAACCTGCTTCACTTCAGGAAAAAAGCACTCAGGCCAAAGATAGACTCGGAAGGAGAGCCAATGATTAATAATTTATAGTAAAGAAAAGCACAGCTAAGGTCAGCTTTGTGCAATGTTATCGCATGAGCTGATTGTCAAGTAACTGGGGTGTTAGTGAACATTATAGCATAACTTTTCTCGCTCCACATATACTGGCACACACAGAGACATAGACAGCAATAACGACACTACACAAAGTGAAGGGTAGTTGGCCGAAGCCAGATATGAACCGGATAATGAGTGAGGTATGGAAGTAAGGACTGAGAACAGAGTGTCTCAGATAGAATAGGCGTGCCAGTGGATAGCAAAAATAGGCCATGATTCAGAACCACTTGGGACCGTCAGATTAATTTTTCTGAACCGAGCCAGCAGGGAAAAAACCCTCGCGCCGACGTACACAGTTGTGAGGGATAAAAACCGGGTGTATATCCCCAATGGCGATTAGGCATCATGTAGGCATGGTAAGCACATCACGGCAAAAAGTGATAAAATAGCAATGATAATAAGCACATAAATGAAGTGTGGGAGGGCAGGGACACTGGTAAGACTCAAAACTGACAGAAGAAGTCAGGAAAAGAAGCGACAATAAAGAACACACCAGATGCCATATTTGCAACAAAAAAATATTTCGCGAGAAATCAGTGCTCGCCTATCTCGCTGCGCTCGGCCGGCGAGAAATACAACGTACTTCCTTGGTCCCTTTCTTTACTATAAATTAACTTAGCCCAAAGATGCCATCTCATCATACCAACTGACCTGGCTCCTTCAATAATGATACGACGATCATGAGTTCACTGCTTCAAAATCAACTTCAAGGTGAACATTAAAAAAACATCTCTATCATTTTGCAAGAACTGTGGCAATACGCCCAGTGAGAAGGCATTTCTCCTGTGCCTATGGGGAAAGAAAATGAAGCTAAACAAACAAACAAATACTAGTAGCATGAGCTCCAGTGTGGGGAGCAAACCCTTTTCAAACAAACATCACCATTGTAATAAATACTACTGCAGTTCATTCGGCAGTACTACTTGCAGTTTGACCAGAGATGCAGTACCGGAGCTCAGCTGTGTGGCCAGCTCGCCATTTTCACACACGTATTCTCGGAGACACGGCCAATGGTCTTCATTTCCCACTGTGACAGCATCCGACTCATTCTTCGTAAACCCTTGACCAGTGAAGAGCTCCAAGAGGCGTAATTCACAGTAGAGAAAAAGACGCGTTTGCCAGGCCGAGCGAGGAGCTGCAAGTGCCATGAATCTGCTATAGTCCATTAACTGGCTGGGCGATCGTTTTATTGAGAGAAAATTCACGCCGTGCGCCTTCTCGTAATCGGCAACTGAGCGCGCACGGAACTCGCTCAGATGCCGCATCACGTCAGGCACGGCACCGGGGTAGAACTGGCGGCAGAGCTCCACGATACCGCTCCACGTTGCTGGCACGCACTTGGGCAAGTGAGCGTCTGCGGGTTTGTCATGGGGCACGTCTTGTTGATGAGCCTGGGCAAGAGCAGCATGATGACTGTTATCACATTTGACAATCTTGGCCTGGAAGAACAGCAGCCATGCATCATTCTTGTCCACCTCGCACTGCACAGGGACAAGCAAAAGATCCGGAAGCAAAGCACACGCATCAAGTTTTCAGGCACTGCAAATCGTCATCATTCTGCATCCATAACAATCGGGTGATGTAGACTTAGCACCGTCACACAGCTGTGAGTAAATATGCATAATGTAAAGACGTTCGGTTAGGCCTGTGTTACGAACCGTATTCCGGAGTATGCACCGTTCCCAGATTTTTGCTACAAATCACAGACATCCACCTTGTTCATGACCACACAAAACACAGACATCCACTCTATTCATGACCACACAGATCACAGACATACACTCTGTTCATCACCAGTAATGCTGACGGCTGGGTACACGTCACTGGCCACAGAAAGGTGGATTCTTGTCATACGTCACTGGAACTGTAGAGATTATGGCGAATATCTATCACTTGTCCTAGTTGACGTTTACCGTATTTTCCCGAATATAAGTCGACCTGTGCGCCAGAAATTTCGCCAAAAGCTGCGGGCCGACTTACAAACGGAACTCGACTTACATACGGGAATCTGGCACAACAAATGAAGTGACTGGAGTGTCCGTACAAAAAAGCACTACCGTATGAACCATGTGAACTTTCGTCCTGCGACTGACACTGGTTTTGTTCAGATTTTGTCTTACTGGCATGATATGATCTCTCCTCGCAGAGAACTCATCATTTTGTATGTGTGGGTGTCTTGGAGCTATAAAAACTTTTTTTTATGAAATTGACTCCTGGATTTGGGGTGGTCGACTTATATTCGGGAAAATGCGGTATACGCTTGTACACGTGCTTGCAGATCAGTATAGCTAAACATCCTCTAAACATACTCTATGTTAACACCATACACTACAGTGGTGTACAACTGCACATACTACACACATTACAGGAGCATGGTAGATCACATACTACACACATTACAGGAGCATGGTAGATCACATACTACACACATTACAGGAGCATGGTAGATCACATACTACACACAGTACAGGAGCATGGTAGATCACATACTACACACAGTACAGGAGCATGGTAGATCACATACTACACACATTACAGGAGCATGGTAGATCACATACTACACACATTACAGGAGCATGGTAGATCACATCCCACACACATTACACGAGCCTGGACCTCGCTTATCCGGTCCTCTTTCATCCGGATCCCTCGCCATCCGGAAGAAAATCGTTGGTTACCGATTTACAGCATATGTCATGCATACATACAGTATGCGTGGTCGATTATCCGGTTCCCTCACCTATCCGGATAATTTCGTAGAAAAAGGGTGTGTGCGGTTAAGCGAGGTCTGACTGTATCTCGCATCCCACAAGTCGAAAACACTTCCAGGCTCATTTGATGCTGTTAGGCATTTTTTAAAACAGGTACTGATTTCCCGTATCTTTTACCTTGAGGGTGATGAACTCGCGTGTTAGACCGAGGGCGAGCAGGACATCATACGGCGACTTGCACGGCAGAACGCGGCAGGCAGTATCTCGGCCGGCAACGAACGCCGTGCGCCGTCCTGATGCCTCACTCAGCCTTGTCGGCACAGTACCACTTTGTACCATGGACACCCTGCACATGACGTTTGCCGCAACTTCATCATCGGCGAGTCGACGTGCTGCTGTCTTTCCAGAGTAAAAGTTGGTTAGATGGTCAGCGAGGGCTTTAGCGTCCATAGTGACTAGCTGTGGCGAGCTATCTCAGTGACCTTGTTTGGTTCTTCCATATGACTGTCCAGTACACTGAACAGCTTGCTCTGGAGAGACAGAGAGACGGAGAGAGAGAGAGAGAGAGAGAGAGAGAGACAGAGAGAGAGAGAGAGAGAGAGAGAGAGAGAGAGAGAGAGAGAGAGAGAGAGAGATATTAGACTCCATAGCAACAAACACAGAGATACGTAACGGAGAGCACACACACGCACACACGAACACATACAATGTAGAATATAGCAACTGGGTGTCACTAACTGCTTGCGTGGCGGCGTGTTTGAACAGCAAAATCCAAAATCAATGTCATTTCCACAGGAAGGCTACTGGTGTCTCCATGACTGCTCCAGTGCGTGCTATATGCTACAAGTTCAAATATCATGCTACATACTATTCACGGCTTGATTGTTTTGTTAAAATCTTTTTCTACGTGTACTGTAATTTCAGAGTGTTCCTCAGTAATTCTTTTCATACTTCAAGTTTCAATACCTTCACAAACACTGACAAGCATCATACAAATGGGAGCTGCCTCTCTGTACGTACCTAGAACTTTCTATTTTAGATCCCAGCATTATTTTAAATGTTGTGCAATTGTCTGCTCCTCCACTACATGTCTACATGTACCAGGTTTTTTCATGCTCTTACCGTCACAGTGCACGCTACGCTGGGGTAGTTTGTACGAGTAAGATCAAAACACCGCTAGCTAACGAACGTCAACCGATTAGCAAAAAACGACTCTCCTCTATGTAACTACCAGGGTCGACTCCATACAAGTAATCTGCAAATACCAGAAATACCTAATGGCCAACACCAGGCTATGCACTGCTCCAGTGAATGTTACTGATTGAACTAGTACAAAGTCATGTAGTAGTCTTGCCTCTTGCTGTCTAGACTCTATGTACTCGTACATCTACGATCCAGTACAATGACTATGTAGTCCACCAATATTTTCAAACGCAAACATTAAAAAAATAATGTTTCAATTATTTTTGAAGTCAACATTATGTTCCCACCGAACAATACATGAGAGATCCCGGGCGCGGGATCGGGCCGGCGTCTACCATGGTCTACCCATGCGTGACGAAGCAGCGTAGGGCGCGCCAAGGGCAAGGTTCCTGCGGCGCTCAGATTGGTTTTTCGAACAACGACGAGCATAAACACAAAAATGTTCCGTACTACATGTACATGTACTAGCACCACCGGTACTACCGGTAGTATACAGTAACATAACGACGTCAGTGCCAGTAGTGAGTCGAGTAGCCTAGAGAGTAGAGGCAAAAGGACAACAGGCTGCTGCCGTGCTGGGAGAGCTGAACAGGCTAACGAGCGCAGTACGGATCCGACCTGGACTACAGACTACATACAGACTCACGTGAGTGCGTTCGATTTTGCCCACAAATCAATAATTTTTGAACCCATGAACGTGAATCCATTCATGAATCCATTCATAATCCATTCATGAATAGTATAATTCATGATTGGATTATTTATTACTACCGTACTGGCAATATATGTTGCCGCGTAACGCGTAACGCAGGGGGTGCGGCGTAACGCGCGACCAGGCTAGTGCGACAAATTTTCGTTGCGTTCGTAACGCGCGTCCGGCGGGGTGCGGCGATCTTTTCATTGCAAAAAAGGCTGAAAACTGTGAAAGCACGTGTACCGCGTGGTGAAAAGTTCTAAACTGGGTGCAGCAAAAAAAGGACTGCGGCAATATAGAAACCTGTGTAACGGCTCCTGTGCGACTTTGCATGTAACGCCCTGCGTGCGGTAAACATGTGCCAATGTAACGCTTCATGGCCTCACTGCGACCATATATATTGCCAGTACGGTAGTACCAAAAGTACATCAACAAGAGTGTGCAACTCTACGATCCGCCAGCCCACAGCGGAATTTTTTTATGACATCAGTCTTTCATGGTCTTTGGCGGCGGTTTAGCTCACTGATGCCATCATGCGTAGCCAGAGATCGAAGTGCAAATAATTTGTACATTAAAGCTACGGTAGTCGAAGCAGAACAACGGACGAAAGATCGACGTGTCTTGAACCTGACGAACTCTCACCGTATCTACAAAACAAGCGCGGGAAAGAATACCGACTTCATCATACTTCTGCCAAAGGATGAGGCAATAAAAAAATTCCGCCGCGGGTGAACCCATCGCAGCTCAAGATAGGAGTTTCACACTCTTGGTTATGTACTCTTGCTAGTACGGCCCTGGCTATTCTCATCACCCCCTGTGTGAATAGACGTTATTTGATTACATCATCAGTTGATGCTTCAACGAAAAGGCTGCGAACTCGCGGCACAGCGCTGCACTTGCTAGGGGTAAGCGGATTATGCCGGCATAATTTTTGGCATAATCAGGTCCTTTTTGAGAAGGAGCATACAATTGCATCCGAAAAAGAAGGGCCGGTGCCCAATGAGACTGGTATACACACATAATAATAAATAATAATTGAAGGCTTTATTGCCATTTTTAGAAGGAGCATAAAACGGCATCGGAAAAACAAGGGCAGATGCCCAATGAGGCTGTCATATACATGTACACACCTGCTATTGAAGGACCATACATTGCGCTTTTTGTCGATTTGGAATACTTTAGCAACCACCGATGGCGACTACCTCACATCGCCGTGATTCTATTCCCCAGTCCACTCCATCACCAGGCAGTACATTTACATCTTCTGCAACACCACCGATGATGTCATCCAGCGCTTCCTCAGCTGAAACAGCAGCTAGAGTGCCCAGACAAGGTTCAGCCTCAGATCAGACTACTTTGCCCAGAAACACGTTGTCACCATCATCATCATCAGCAGCAGCAGCAGCAGCAGCAGCAGCAGCAGAAATAGCTGAATCTCCAACAAAGCAGGTAAGACTAGACTGGAAACTCTTAAATTTTCAAGTTCTTGCACTTATATAAAATATACGGGCACATGCATTTCAATTTCCCCGTGCAGTCTGTTGCTCTGTATCACTGGGTGTGTACTGTGTAGTGGGACCTGTATGACGTCATCAACCATTAGTCATGTACATGTACATACAGGCAACACTGGCGTCTGTGCAAGACAGTGTTTTACTTTGTATAGCAAAAGTTAAACCATGAGTATGTTTACAAATTGTAATGGTGCTACACCAATACCGGTACAATGGATTTTGAATTATTTCCTTGTGTGTCAGTGTTGTGTTAGTGGTCACCATACTGCACTTGAAAGTGCTTTGTCACAGACAGGTCACAGAAATGGATGGCTCTTACAGTCAATTCTGATCCATCGGTGTGTGTGTGTGTGTGTGTGTGTGTGTGTTTGTGTGCTTGTGTGTGTGTGTGTGTGTGTGTGTGTGTGTTTTCTTGTGTGTGTGCGTGTTTGTGTGTGTACATGGGAGTGTGTGCGTGTGTGTGTACTTGTGTGTGTGTGTGTGTGTGTGTGTGTGTGTGTGCATGTGCTTGTGTGTGTGTGTGTGTGTGCGTGTGTGTGCATGTTTGTGTGTGTACATGGGCGTGTGTGCGTGCGTGTGCGTGCGCGTGTGTATGTGTGTGTGTGTATGTGTGTGTGTGTGTGTGTATGTTTGTGTGTGTAACTAGGGTAACCCGGTTACTACCGGCATACCGGGGATTTCTGACTTTGATCGAAAAACTCCTGGAATTGGCACTGAAGCATAAGTGTTCAAAAACGGTTGTTTTGTGGTGTGACAAGAGCACATGTGGCCCTGCTTTTCACAGAATCCCTTACGTAGGGGCGATCTGACAATGAAGAAATTCATGCTTTGGTCCCCCAATGAGCAATGGGTTAGAAATGAATAAAAAGAAAGAAAGAACAAAATTGGCAAAATATTGCGTACAATACGCAAAGATACTCGAAAATTGCCCGAAAAGAGAAAATGGCCGAAATAGGCGAAAACCAGCTAAATAAGGGAAATGAGAGAAAATTAAGGGAAACTGGGTGTGTGACTAAGGGAATTGATTTGGCTGGGCTTGCAAGTAGGAATACAGGATTCCGTGTGGTACAGGGTACGGCAACCAACGGTTTCAACCTCTATGGTCCTAGTGTCGATTGCTGTTGTTCCCACTGCTCTCCTGTATTGCAGCGTGATTACACACAGATCCACAAAGCAAGGTACTCATTCGGTAGCAAGGGCAGTGGGAGAGATCAGTTTAACTGCCCTTGGGGACTAGCAACCAACAAAGCTGGTGACCTGATCATCTGTGACTGCGGCAACCACAGAATAAAGGTAACTGAACTCACAGTACAATGCTAACCGACAAGTACAGTGTGTATGTAAATGTCACTCTGATAGATGACCTGCTCAGGAGGGTCTGTGTGTGCATTTGTATAATTGAAAAATAAGGATCCCAATTGGTCAGGTTGAAGATGCTCAAGACTGTCTGAAACAGTAGTAGACAATCCCTTGGATGAATTCTTCAACATTCTAAATTTTACGTTATTGCACCATCCAGTTAACCTGTAAGCCCAGTGAACACAAGAGCTGAGAAGTTGATGTAAGCAGAATGTCATTTCTCTTCAGACGTGATCAGTTTTTCTAAACTATCAAACTGGAGAAAGGTGATCATTGTAAATCACAAAAGACTTTGAATACCTGTGACACCCCCACTCGTAAATATTTTCTTGGCCGAGCTATTCCAATTGCACATCACCACCGCAACGAGGACATTTCCATTGTGATATTGATATCTCAGACCCTGAAGGCAGCTGCTTTGCTCCAGCAGAGCTCATCAGTGGTGGTTGGTGATCCGTGTGAAGGAATAATGTCATAATAGGGTAAAACAGTCGCAATTCTGCGCTTTCTACGTCGAAGTTAGGCATGCTATAGGACACTGAGGCTATAGGTGATAACAGATCGTGCAAATGTGCGTTACTGGGACATACTTTCAGGTCGTCTGCAGTACTAGAATTGGTACAAAATCAACAAACAAAGAGAGGTGCTACTAGTAGCCAATAGCCACTCATACATACGAGTGCTGAATGTCCAAACACTGCACGCTTGTATGGTCAAATCTGTTAAAACTGTCAGTTATCACCTAACCCCTTTGTTTGCTAGGGCATGCCACACTAGAGAGAAAGTGTGAAATTGTGAAAGTTTTCGCCTATACAACATCAATCACTCATTGTATCTTAATCAACCATTATCAGCAATTTCCACTGATGAACTCTGTCACCATGTTGGACCAAAAAGCTATCTGGAGGGTCTGAAATGTCAATATCTCAACTAAATTGTCCTGGCTGTGGTGGTGATGTGCAAGTGGAATGGGGCGGCCGACAGCACATTGGGTGTGCATGTGTGACTGACATTTTTGGACGATCTTTTCGCTAGATTCACACTATAGAACTGCAACCAAATGTTTACTACATGTATGTTTGGATCTGGGCTATGTATGGGTGCATGGTTGTGTTAACATTTGTAAATTGTATTCCTTTTTGTCAATTCACTTAGATACATGGGGTTGGTGGCCAGTTCAAGAAGACGACTGGTCGCATGGGTACAAAATGTGGAGAGTTCAACTTCCCAGCAGCTGTGCATGTAACAGATGATGAACGAGTGATCATTGCTGATTCTTCCAACAACCGACTACAGGTATGGTCTTGGTGTTCCAATCATGTTGTAAGGATTACATGTAAACAGTAGCCTCTTTTACGTGCAAAATTGATCAACAATGCAGTAAAGCCAGCTGCTCAGAAAAACTTCAAAAAGGCCCAGAGACACAAAAGAGAAAACCGGAACACGGTGGGGGAGGGGGGGGGGGCGCGTCCGTAAATTCATGTATTTACTTAGAGACATCCAATAGGCGTTTCTTTCTTAACCCACCCACCCCCAGCAAGGCCCCCGAAAAGTGCAGATAATACCACTCATAATAAACACCATGCTATGAACACATATACAGTGCAGTCGACTCCACTTATAACGAACTCGCATATTAACGAATTTCGTGATATAGCTAACCCTTGTCCTTGTCTCTGTTTCAAACCATACAAAATGTGACCCTTTATAGCGAAGGTACAGCAGCGTTTTCGTTATAACGAACCAAATCGTGTAGGTCCGCATGTACATGTAAAGCAAGTGCACCTGAGTCATACTGTCATGGGCTACATGTGCACCTGAACCTGAAACCAAGCCCAGGGATCCTGTTTTACACCTACAAGTCTGCTGGTAGCTGCCTGTCACTGCATGCAAGCGCATGTTTCTGGGAGTACAGAGTATGGCTGTGTATGTGTCCCTGTCTACTCTGCCGTGATGCGTGTAGTGCAGTGTAGTGCATCTCAACGCCTACCTGTACTAGCTGTAGCACTGCTACATCATGTACATGTACACACGCGGTATGGTATGCATGCACTCTGAAATGTATTTTTTAGCAACGCCTTGCAGGCGAACCCACCACAAACGCCTGTTAGACGTCTCTAAGTAAATACATGTGTTTACAGACGACCCCTGAGTAATCAACAACATACAATTACACATACATGTACATTTTACACAAACTATGTTTTCATTGGATACCCACATTATAACCCATGCAGAAGTAAATACCTCTTTGTAATACAATTTTATTGAAATGGTTTTCTTGCTGCAATGATGAGCACTTACTAACTAATGGCTCATGTTGCGAGCAAAACCTGTATTTGTTGTGCAGCACCACTGTTATTTCACACACACTCTCTCCTCTTCATACATTGGCCCACACATGTTAACACCCAAACACACACTTACACTAACATACACCCACACACGCTCAACCACCCACCCACAGAATACACACTGAAAAACCTGTGCATACCTGCATCCATGCATTCCCTCTCAAGTGCACATACCTGCATACATGCATTCCCTCTCAAGTGCACATAGAACCATACACACTGCCAACTTATGACATTTCATGGCCAAAGGCGATGAAAGGCTTATTGGGCAGATAACAGGTATAGAACACGGGATTGAGCTACATTGCAAGGAGGTAGAAATGTGTCGCGCCTCCAGGCATGTGTGGCAAGCAAGATAGCAGAGTTTGGAGAAGAATCATCAACAGAACAATGAAGCAAACTATCTCCATTGTTGGTGGTGTCAGTCAGTGCGGAGAAACCCAATTCATGACCGTCTTAAACCACTACATTCTGCCATTAGCCGTCTCAGACCGACAGAAGATGGGGATGTCCCTAGCCGAAGTTTGAGGTCATGAGCAGCTGCATCCCATCACCGGTTTTTTTTTTACTTGGGGCACATCCAAACAAGAACATGTATTGGGCAGCTGTCCAAACAGGAGTTGATTGGAAATCTGGGAGGTTTTGGCATTCTGGCAAGGTGACCTAGCCCCTCAGGGCAATGCTGGCCAAAACATGTTGAAATGCCTGGTTTCAAGGTCTGCTTTCAGCGGAGTCCAGCACTCAGTACTATACACTAGGATGGAGGCTATACAGGAAAAGTTTAGATGTCATTTGGTGCACAGGGACAGGTTTTGTGGACAAAAACACATCACAGTTCACAAAAGGTATTGTGTCCTTCAACATTGCGCCGGCACAATTCTCTTTTAACGAGTAAACCGGTGTAGCAACAGAACCAAGGTAGAGAGGAATAGGGGCAAATCCTCTGTTGCCTTCCCTTTCACAAAAACAATGTGGCCGATGTCAGATGGTGTGATGTTCCTATCAGCCACAAGGAATTTTCATCTTATCGACATTGATATTTAAGGCCAAACAGACACATCCGGCAACGTGTACAGCCCCCCCCCCCCCCACAACACACACACCTGAACACACATGCACACTCACACACCTCGGACCTTGGACGTGCTGCCATATTCTGGCTATGTGGACCCCATGGGGGGGGGGGGGTGAGCAGGTTCGGAACAGTAGGAGCGATGACGGGATAAGTCCCGTGGTCTACTGAAACGCCGACCGCAATTGCAAGCGATGCAGAAGGAGCTACGGTCTGTGCTGGTTGCACACACACGCACACACACACACACACAAACACACAACTTGACCTTGACCTTACCCATTGTGTAGCAATGATAGCACATTGTTATTTCTCCAGTCCACGACAGAATGACAGATGGCGTTTCAGGTCGCCGCTTCGACGGAACATGCGGCCGCAGGCGCAACCGTAGGCAGCAGCAGAGGGTGCCTTGGGTGTTTGACGGGCAATGCTACGCCACTCCGGACGGTTCTGGGCTGCATCGTACCATCCACATGTTGGTACCGGTGGCTCAATCGATGCAAAGTCGTCCATAACGACGACCCTCCACCTCTTGCGCGGAACATGCGCCGGGCGCGGGGCAAGGCAGTTCACCGAAGATAACAGACTTTGGCAACCGGTGATCTTCCATCCATGTCACGTGTCCAAGCCAGCGCAAACGCCGTTCCCATATGATGTGACCAATGTCCTCAGGCACTCCAAGGGTCTTTGCAAGGGCTGAGGACGTTGCGTGGGTCTCCCATTGCTGCCGTTGCGACACTCCAACGATAGTTCTGACACATTGATGGTGGAGGAGGTTGAGACGCCGTAGGTCCGGAGCCTTCGTTGGCCAAGTCTCCGCGCCGTACAGGAGGGTAGAGAGCACCACGGCAACATACACACGACGATGATACTGCAGACTCAGTGACCGGTTCTCGAACACGGCTTGCTTCAAGCTACCAAAGGCTTTGGACGTCTTGCCAATGCGGGCCTGGAAGTCAAGGGAGGACAAACCATCGCATTGTATGGCACTGCCTAGATACGTGAATGATTCCACAGCATCTATGGCTTCACCACCATCCAGTGCCATTGGCGCATTCGCCCGAGTGTTCACCGCCATGCCTTTAGTCTTGGCCACGCTGACAGTTAAACCCCATTGGGAAGCGCATGTGATAAACTTTGTCGTGGACGACTCGAAGTCTTGCCGGGTGGTGGAGAATACTGCAGCATCGTCAGCAAAAGGTGTCTCAGTGACACGGGTTGGTAGTAGCAGCGACTTTGCAATGCGATCGTCGACAAGTCTACGCCCAGGCTTGTGCTTGACGGTAACGCCAACATCCGGGCATTCCAAGCGCCAGTGTGTGACCACCGCCGAGAAATAGATATTTAATAGGACTGGTGTCGGTGTGCAACCCTCCCATAGACCGTTGGTCACAGGGAATGCCTCACTTCGACCCTCTGCCCGGACCTCTACCATCATTCCATCGTGTAGTGAACGGATCACACTCCGCATGTTGGGGGGGGGGGGGGCTGCAGTACTGACCATAAAGCTTGCCTGGGAATCGAGTTGTAGGCCTTCTTCAGGTCAATAAACATGGCGCACAGAAGAGACTGATGCTCATAACTCTTCGCAATGAGTTGGCGGACAACATACACCATGTCTAAGCAACCCTTCCACGACGGAAGCCACACTGCGACTCAGGAAGAATCTCCTCGGCAACGATGGTGAGCCGGTCCTGGAGAATACGGGCAAAGAGCTTCCCAACAACATCCAATAAACTAATTCCACGCCAGTTGTCATAGTGATGACGGTTTCCCTACTTGGGTATCGGGACCAATAATGCATTGCGCCAGTCATCCACAACGCATCCCTCCCTCCAGACCAATGCCATAACATCGAGGAAGCGAGTAAGCGAGTAAGCGTGCATGTAGATGAGCACCACCATGGATTATCATTTCTGGTGGAATGCCTGATAATCCGCCAGCTTATTGGTCCTCAGACTACGTAGGGCTTTGGCAAACTGTTCTGGAATAGGTGGACGGTCCCGATCCAAACGCGGCGGCTGTTCTTGAATGGTTTCAATAACAGCAGGATTGAAACAGCTCTCAATTTTCAACACACCCTGGAAATGACGCAGAAACCTGGCACGGACTTCGTCAGGATTCGTCAGCGAGTTACCTTGCTCATCAAGAATAGATGTAACATGCAGTGACCGTCATCTGTGGCACAATGACTGTAAATGCCTGACACATTGGCACTGCGATATTCCGTGGTGTTCGTTCTCCTCTGTCTGCCGGCAAACATCCTCCATGCACTCCTCTTTAGCACGATTGACAACACATGCAACATCTCTCTGGGCAGCACGGAAGTGTGAACGAGAAGAGTTGGTGTCTTTCTGCAGCATCTCGTTATGCAGCCTGTTCTTGGTCTCGATGACAGGGGTGATGGTGGCAGCAGCCGACTTGAACCAGTCCGGCTGATTTCGTCTCCTTGTGCCAAGCACCGACTTTGATGCGTCGATGAGCCAGTCACGAACATCAGTCTATTCCGCTTCCGCTGTTGGCAAGAGATCACAAGTGCCCAGATGGTCAGAGATTGCGTTTTGATAGTAGCGCTCGGTGGCAGGATCCGCTAGCGACTCGACCGCGATCGGGCGGGTACGGACACATCTCGCCTCTCTGCGCTTATTCAGAGTAATGTAGAGCTTTCCTCGTACCATACGATGATTGTTAAAGCAATTTGGCCCATGCACAACTCTGCCGGTCGTGCTCAGACACGATCTCGAGCTGGTTGGGAGGACCCTCAAGACCTCGGCAGATCTTGAGGAGCTGAGGAGCATCGCCCAGAATCGCGGGGCGTGGACCTACCTCAGCGGCCGTATCCTGGAGAGATATGTTGCTGCTCACAGATGAACCCTGATAATGATCAGCAAGTTCAAATTCAACTCGGTTGAGCTGCTCGTTTGCTTGTTTTAATTGTATTCTATTTTCGTCACGCGTTTTATATCGCATATGTTTTATATCGCCATCAATATCCTGTTTGGCTGTTGTCGCTTCTGCTTATGCGAAAGCTATACATGCTGTGTATATCTACATTGCATTGATGCCAACGCGGAGAAGCTTCTAATAATAATTTGGCCCATGCACAACACTTACATCCTTGCAGTGAACCCGCTGCGATTGCCGCACAATGATCATGTCGATCAGATGGAATTGCTTTGTTGCAGGGTGGCACCACGTTCCTCGCTTGTACTCCGGCTTCTCGAACCAGGTGTTCATTGCAGATAACTGATTGACGGCACACCACATGAGTAGATACACACACACACACACACACACACACACACACACACACACACACACACACACACACACATACACAAATCCACACCCACACGCACATACACAAATACACACCCACACACACACACACACACGCACGCACCCACACACACACACACGCACACGCACACACAGACACACAGATACACACACACACAGACACACACACACACACATACACACACACAACACACACACACACACACACACACACACAAGTACGAGCATACTAGCCTTATTCGAAATATTTTTTTCTACACTTTGTATGATCACCACCTCGTTTATTATCCTTTTTACTTAGTTTTATCACATTCATCAGCAACTCTTATGTGTGTATTGTATCACCACACGACTACTTAACCTTTGTTTATTTACCGCTTAACCTTAGTTCCGTAATTTCCACCGATGACCGCAGCAGAAAGTTGGTTCTGTAATTACACACCCTTTTTAACTCTAAATGCGTTTACTTGCATGGTAATGTCTCTGGCACTAATACTGCTTATAGCGTGAATTATACTTTTGTCTCCTCGAAAACTGGTACGAAGAATTTGACGAAGTTATTTGCCATTTCTAAATCATCTTGATTTCTCCTGTCCATCTCCATGCCCCCTCTGCAGATCACTTACAAGGACTTCTCCGAGTTCAGCACCATAGGAAGGCGTGGATCAAGAATTGGCGAGTTCGACTGGCCAAGTGATGTTGTCCAAGTGAACCACAGCGCACTGGGCCAGTGCCTTGCTGTAACGGACTCAGGGAACCATCGGGTTCAGGTAATAACCAGACAGTACACACTGTACATGTACACGGTTGTGACTGCTTGTGACTGCGTGTGTTGCCATCTACTATGTATTACAGTATTACGTTCACTGGGGGGGGGGGGGGGGGGGGGGGAGGTAAGTGCTGTCAAACCCTTTTCTGCACCTTGTCCTAAACCACTCACACATGTGTGGTAAGCCTATAAGTGGAATAATTTCCCGAAGTCCATCCAGAGTTAGTCGATTTCAGTATAAGTTATCTGCCATTGGATGGTTCGATAGCCAATCCATCATCTCAAGATGCCTTTGAATCCCTTGCCCTTCAAGCTTTGGAAATTAGCACGTAAAAGGACAAGCGCATTGGTATGCAGGTTGGGGGCATTGGTGTGACGTGGATGGGTGGAGCCGTTTGAGTGTGGGTGGGCGGGTCCATTTGGCTTGTGTTTGTGTGTGGGGGCTTGAGGGTGTGTACACGATTGTGTGTGTGGGTGTGTGTGTTTGTGCGTGTGCACTGTGTGTATGTGCGAGCATGTGTGTGTGTGTGTGTGCATGTGTGTGTGTGGGTGCGTGTGTAGTGTGTGTGTGTGTAGTGTAATGTGTGCGTGTATGTGCAAGCATTGGTGTGTGTCTATGTGTGTGTGTGTGTGTGTGTGTGTGTGTGTGTGTGTGTGTGAGTGTGTGTGTGTGTGTGTGTGTGTGTGTGTGTGTGTGTGTGTGTGTGTGTGTGTGTGCGTTTGTGTGCGTGAGTGCGTGTATGTATGAATATGCATGTGGGTTCCATTGGCATATCGGTACATCACTACATGTTTGTGTTCTAGAAAGTCTTCATAAAGCTCTGTCACAGCCCAAACACCAAATCTAGTTGTAAGTTGTGTGCAAATGAATTACATATCTCACAGGTTTACACACACACTTGAAAGGAATCAACGCGTTTCTGCTGTAACTCTGAGTTTCACGGTTTTAATCGATCATCAGACAACAACTCACAGGTGTATATTCTTCTATGTACACTGGTACTGTACAGGTTGTGCCATGCAGTGGTGAGACAGGATATGCATTTGGAACAGAAGGTAGTGGTCAAGGCCAATTTCAAGGTCCAGGCGGCATCACAGTGTACCACAACAGGTTGTTTATTGCAGACAAGAACAACCATCGCATCCAGGTATGTTATCATGTTAATCTGGCAAAAACGTCAACAATGACGGCGAATACGACGACAACCGCAATGACAACGACGGCAACAACGATGATGACGACGGAGACGACGGCGACAACAACAACAATAACAACAACAACAACAACAACAACAACAACAGCAGCAGCAGCAGCAGCAGCAACAACAACAACAACAACGACGACGACGACGACGACAACAACAACAACAACAACAACAACAGCAACAACAACAACAACAACAAAAACGATGACGACAACAACAGCAACAACAACAACAACAACAACAACAACAACAACAACAACAACAACAACAACAACAACAACAACAACAACAACAACAACAACAACAACAACAACAACAACAACAACAACAACAACAGCAGCAGCAGCAACACCAACAACAACAACAACAACAACAACAACAACAACAACAACAACAACAACAACAACAACAACAACAACAACAACAACAACAACAACAACAACAAAAACAACCACAACAACACGTTACAACGACAATAAATACTACTACTACTCAAACTACTACAGCAGCAGCAGCAGCTGCTGCAGCAGCAGCAGCAGCTGCAGCAGCAGCAGCAGCAGCAATGGAAGCAGTAGCTAGTTCAGCTTCATATTGTTGTGACAGGTCTTTGTAGGTAGTTGTTCCAAACTTTGGTGCTTACACTTCATTCTGATTGACTTGACACTTGACTGACTCATGACTGCCGTCTAGAGCCCATGAGCAGCAAGTAGAATGTTTGACTCAGAAAATCTGCAAAGAAGCGCCACCCTCTGCTATATGCAGTGTTTTGGGGAATTCCCCCTGTGTCAGCTGAGCTTCGGAACGTTACTGTAATCTGTGCTCTGAGCGCACTACAAAATGTGTCGCTCTCTGGCAAGAGCCGAGATCCAAAGTTTGGAGTAGCCACCTTCTTCAATTATATCCACTGAAATTGCAACATCTACATGTATATCTGGAATTATATTGTTTCTTTTTTGCATGTCTAGTGTGCATGAGACTTTACTGGTATTGACAACCCATCTATCGGAATATACACTGGACAGGGTCGGGCAGGAAAATATTCTTTCAATCAAAAATGAATGTGTACGTCATGCAAGTGCATGTTGGCCATGTTCGCCTAACTTGTCCTTTTCAGTGGAAGAGTGTATAGGCTGATGTGAAGTTAGACTCTTAAACATCATGTCTATACAACATGTCACAAACCAAACAGTGTCTGTCGTACAATAAATACATACATAGTAATCAAATGTTGGTGCCAGGTTCATGTTTTACCTCAGGTTTTGAGTTTTTACAGTTGCACACCAGTAACCTTATCATCACTACATAATGATAGTAGGTATGGACTACGTGTTGGAGTATTATTTTTACACTCCTGTTATATCTATACTCTTGCTGTCACCACAGTGGTGTGTGTGAATGTTCAATTTTTTATTCCTGCAATAGGTGATGACCGTCAATGGAGAGTTTATCACTTCGTTCGGTTCAAAGGGTAGCGCTTTTGGTCAGCTGGAGAGACCGGAAAATGTCACTACAGATGCCTACGGCAATGTTCTAGTCGTAGATCATGGCAATGGACGTGTTATGGTAAGGGAGAGCTTGTTGTCGTGTTCTTCTTTCTAAATACCTACAGGCAGAGAGTAGTACCCAGTACATATACAGCAGTGGAGCATGGTCAGTTTGTTGCTAGTCTGTGATTCATGGTCAGTACAATCATCAGACAACACTGATATGAACACAGAAAGTGATGTACACTGCATGCACAGAGTACAAGTAAAGCAAGAGTACATTAGCTCTTACAGTTCAAAAAACAAGGGTACATTCTACTCTTACACTACTTTCTTGTATAAAAGTGTGTCTCACATGTAAGCTTGCAATGAATACTAGTACTAGCATGATTTCCAAAATGGTACCTCTGGCACATATGCTTTAGGGTTTACCTAGTGTCCATGCATACTCAGACTGTGTGCAGTGCTGAATGTCTGGAGAACAGAGCAAGGAATACAGTGGACACACATCAATGCTACAATCAAGTCCGGGGCGTACTGTAGCTGTGTTCTTACTGTTTGCTTGCCTTGCATGTTGACATTTAGAGAAATGCCTAATGAGTTTAAGTAGAATTTAAGTACTTGTATAGGAGTATGCCTTCGAAGCCCATCTGTACAGTGAAACCAGTCTAACACGACCACTCAAGGGACCTTCAAAATGTGGTATCTATTACCAGGTGGTCGCCTTATCCAGGGTCAATTGACTGTATATAGGATCAGGTGGTCGCCTCATCGGAGTGGCCGCCTTGACAGGTTTTACTGTACTTGAAATATACGTGCCATGTTCTGGTGGATTCAGTTTACGCCGGGGTAAGAGGACGTTGTTTGAGGAAACGTTACTGAATCCCTGACCGAAATTGTCTCCATGGTGCTGGTTTGATGCATATTCATCTTTCAATGAATGTAAACATACTTCAGAAGTAGCAAAGTGGTTTACACATCTATTGCATATACCTTATTTTCTGGAGTATTGTAATGATATCAGTCTGAGTCACGAATATTGTTTTTCTGTACTGTGTCCACCATGTATTTGTGCCGGTGGATCACTGCGGTTTCACTTGTAGCACGTATTTGATCCGATTTCTTGAACGTGGCAAATATTGCCACGTGAGTTTGGTTCTTCGCGGGCTTTTCAGTGATATTGGACGAGGAACGGTTTGGACAAATGGCTTTTTGGATTCTTCTTCTTCTTGCCAATCCGAATGGTGGTTCAACTCTTGTTCTCTGTGCCTGGTGATATATCGCGAGGAATAAAAACAATTGATCCAAGTCATTTCGCGACATGTATAAGCCGCACTTTAGACAGCAGTAATACATCCAAAGAGAAGCCGGTGTGACTTGTGCTACGATGGTCAAATCAACAGTAGTAAATGAGAAAGATGTTTCTATTTGGTGCCAAACAATTCAAATCGTTCAGATGGGCCTTTTTTTCCAGTGCGCCTTTTACTCTAGTGTGGCTTATACTCCAGTGTGGCTTATACTCCAGTGTGGCTTATACTCCAGTGCGGCTTATACTCCAGTGTGGCTTATACTCCAGTGTGGCCTATACTCCAGTGTGGCTTATACTCCAGTGTATACTACGATGGTCAAATCAACACTGGTAAATGGGAAAGATGTCTCTATTTGGTGCCAAACAATTCAAATCGTTCAGATGGGGCTTTTTTCCAGTGCGCCTTATACTCTAGTGTGGCTTATACTCCAGTGTAGCTTATACTCCAGTGTGGCGTATACTCAAGTGTGGCTTATACTCCATTGTGGCTTATACTTCAGTGTGGCTTCTACTCCAGTGTGGATCATACCGCAGTGCGGCTTATATTCCAGTGTGGCTTAACCATGCTAACCCATACCTTCCATGATACCATCATCCATAAATGAATTGCGCAGCATTCATGCACCCGCCATGCATCATTCATGTATCACCCGTACATCATTCATGCATCCTCCATACAGCATCCATCCATCATTCATACATCATCCATACACCACCATGCATCAACCATCTATAATACGTGGAATTCATGTACACTGACCAGTGTTGTCCATGTTCTCTGCAGGTATATGCTGCAGAAACGTACACACCACTGGCTGAGTTTGGAAAAGGAGAGCTGGATGAGCCGATGGGTGTCTGCGTGACAAGTGAGGGTTTAGTAGCTGTTTCCGATTGGGGTGATCACAAGATTTTCGTGTTTTGAAGGTTTCTTGTTAGACACCTGTCATCAGTCACTTGCTCACACTTTTTTATGCATCATAACGTAAATGACCACAGCGTGACACAAACTGAACTTGTATCCCATCCTACTCCTCTACTCTCTCCCCCCCCCCCTCCCCAACACACGCACACACACACACACACACACACACACACACACACACACACACACACACATACACACACACACACACACACACACACACACACACACACACACACACACACACACACTATCATGTATTGTAGTTATAGTGTTTATGTTGGTAATCCCAATTTAAGTCTTGCTTCGCACACCCACTTCTAGCCACCGTGATCGTGAAATGAGGATACTGGTCATAAGCATTTGACCAAGTTATTGTCTATTTCTAAATCATCTTTTATCTCTGCTGTCTGCCTCCATGCCCTCCTGTGCAGATCACTGACCAAAACTACTCAGAGTTCAGCACTATAGGAATACGTGGAATAGAAATTGGCGAGTTCCATGAGCCAATTGGTGTTGTCCTAGTCAACCACAGTGTACTGGGCCCGTGCTTTGCTGTGGCAGATAACTACAATCATCGGATTCAGGTCAGAAACCTAACCAGACAGTACACACTGTACATGTACAGTTGTATTGTGTAAAATCCCTCTCCTACCCACTAACAGCGTACTGTGGTATACATAAAGATAGAACTAGCCTATATCACTGTTCAGCATCAAGTTGTGGGACTGTTTTCAATCATGTAACAGAAGATGAAGCATATGGTGATCTCATTAGGCACAGATACATAGCTGAGCGAGGGAAACTAATCTCACACCAAAGGGGTGACTGCAAGCATAGGGCTTCTTCAAGGACGGACCAACGGTCACTTTTCGGGATCATGTGCGAGAAAATTTTTGAATCGCTGGTGAACAGGCGAAGCCCAGGTCACATTCAGTTTGTACGAGAATGGACGCGTGGAGGTGAAAGAAGCAATAGGATGGTGCTCAACTTCATGTCCAACACTCGTGTTGACTCAGAGCAGCTTCCGGGAAGCCCTTTCATGGCTAGGGCGAAAATGAACAAGCTTCAAAATCAATCCAAGCTCTGGTTGAGACAACCCTGTCACATTTTGTATACTTTTCAATGCGCGACCTGTTCACCACAATCTCGGGGTGAGTGCCACTTACGGGCACGGCGTGGTGTCCTTGAAAAAGCACTATACTCCTTGTGACCGGTGGTTCAAGAGTTGCGGAGATTCGCCCTCAATTTATCTTTCCTGCCTCTGGATCCAGATCATTATGCATTGCCTGACCTACCTGACCCTTCTGTCTGTGAGTCAATGCAATAGGAGCGCTTTATGTGTGTGTGTGTGTGTGTGTGTGTGTGTGTGTATGTGTGTGTGTGTGTGTGTGTGTGTGTGTGTGTGTGTGTGTGTGTGTGTGTGTGGTGTGTGTATGTGTGTGTGTGTGTGTGTGTGTGCGTGCCACGTGTGTGTGCGTAAATATATACATGCTCGCACGCATTTACAACTCACTGCATCCGTTCTAGAACTACGATAGATCGACACTTGAACAGAGTGCACATATCCACATGCGTCATAGCGCCTGTACAACCATAGATCGACACATTAACGTACTTAACCGTACACTTCCTTGAAATGAATATTCCAAAGGGGAACACATTCCTTCTATCGTGTTTTCAAACGAATATCAGTCGAATACTCGAATAATCCTTGCAACCCTAATTACGAATCTCACAGATAATTATCTTCTATGTACACTGGTACTGTACAGGTTGTGCCATGCAGTGGTGAGACAGGATATGCATTTGGAACAGAAGGTAGTGGTCAAGGCCAATTTCAATACCCAAGCGGCATCACAGTGTACCACAACAGGTTGTTTATTGCAGACGAGAACAACCATTGTATACAGGTATGTTAGCATGTTCAGCTGGCACCCACATCAACAACGCTACCAAAGACGACGACAACC